TTATAATGGAACCAACCTTTACCACGATTATTATCTTTTACTTTGACAAAGGTAAATATATATAAAGTTGTAATTATATATCTAAGCAACATATTATAAAGATGCTTTATCAGTGTGGTCAAATTTTTTAGGGTCATGTACCTTAATTTTCACCTTGGCTTATTACAGCCAAACAAAACTTTGATTGATTATGTGAGTTGGTTTGTTGGACTTAACTTGTTTTCTTTTGTGACTATTATAAAATTTACATTAATTCTATATCATAAATGTTACGTTTTCCATTCAATAAAAATTAACAAATTAATATTTTTTCTTTTTATATTGTGGATTCACTATCCTTTATATACAAGCTTTTATATCATCCGTTATACACACGCTCGCGCAAGCTCTTTATATGTATATTAAAAAACTATAATTTTTTTTCTATAATATGAACTTGTAAAAGTTTAACCTTTTATAGGATTTTATCCCTTTTAATATCTTTAAGAAGGCACCTAATAATTTAGCATTAAGTATTATCCATTTCGAGATTATAAATTCATATTTTATTTAAAGCAAATAAGCTAAGACTTAATGGAATAATTTTTGTCAGTAATTCCAAATAATTTTATTTGATAATCGAATCAGAGAGTTTTAAACTGTATCAATTGATTCATAGTTTAAATTTTTAGGTGTTTTATTTTTAAATCCCAGGTTAATGAGTTGAGGCAGGTGATTTGACTGATAATTATAAAAAATTCTTTCTTTGCGTATAGTAGGATGTGAATCATTAAAAAGAAAGTCCACGTGTCAAAAACATTCACACGCTCAGTAATTGCGCTTGGGCCATACTATACCCTCTCTCCAATATCCCAGGTATTATCCATTTCTTTTATTAATACAGATTTTTCAAATTGATTTTTGAGTTTAAATCACAATTCAAATCTTTATTTTGTTTTCTTTATTAATAATAATTGTTACTTTTAATTTAAATCACAAATCAAATTTTTTTTATAATAAAAATAAAAAAATTTATTTTTTAATTTAAATCACACATCAAATCTTGATTTATTTTTTATATTAAATCACAAACGCAGAACTCAGATGCTTCTGAGTTTAAAAATGTGACAGATGTCAACACGTGTCAACACCTGACACGTCACCAATCATGTCTAAATTGAGTTTCAATCAAGAGACAATCACGCCTAATTTATGTAATTTTATTTTTGAAAAACATTCATAAGCCATCATTAATTTCAGACCACGAATAATAGCCCAGAAGCTTATAGCATTAATCATTAATTTCAAAAATAATATCCTTCTTCCTTACAGATTTAGAATATTTATTTAATTATTTCCTTTATTTCTACAGATTTTTCAAATTGATTTTTTAGTTTAAATCACAAATCAAATCTTTATTTTGTTTTCCTTATTAATAATAATTTTTATTTTTATTTTTAATTTAAATCACAAACCAAATTTTTGTTATAATAAAAAAAATTTAAATCAAAAATCAAAATTTTATTTATTTTTTTATAGTAAATGACAAACCCAGAACTTAGAGGCTTCTGGGTTTAACCGTTCTTATAATACCATTCTTGCAAATTAAAATTATGTTTGTGAGAAATAAAATATATCAAATGAGATGTCATTGCGTAGATCTCGTAAAGTTATGTGGAATCAAAAAGAGAATTACCTAATTTGGATACCCGAGTCAAAAGTTATAGCCTTCAAAAGTTTTGAATCACTTGAAAGGGAATAATACTTCTATTCAAACTTGGATAGAAAGGATTCCTATGGCTCTTGGCCAATTCACAAACAGAACAATGAAAATCACTAATACTGACATCAGAAAAGAAATTGGGAAATAATTTATTCAGATAGCTAAAAGAAAGGTGGCCTAATCGCCTATGCCATAACCAAATACGGTTTTTTGCAGACTCCACAGCCGAAGTAGTAGATGCACGAGGGGGGAAGTCACTGCTACCAGATGAGACATCCAAGAAGTACAACTTGCATTTTCTAACACCATAACCAATGGTCTCCTGTGTTTGGTTGTCCTGGAAAATACATTTATTTTGCAAAAAAATCACAGAACAATTAAGATTAGAGGTTAGTTGACTAACAGGGAGTAGATTAAAATCAAGGGAGGGAACGACTAACACAGATTGAAGGTGTAACCGATTGGAAAGAGAGATTGAACCCTGACCAACAATGGCAGAGGTTCCACCATTGGCTGTAGAAATTACAGTTTTAGGGGAAGGGGAAAAATTAGAGAGGAGATGAGGGTCCCGAATCATATGATCGGATGCACCAGTGTCAATTATCCATGAATCAATTTCAGATAATGTAGAGAAAGCATGAGACTCACCTAGAATTCCTTCGTAGACTGCATTTGCTGAAGGAGGAGGCCCTGTATCAGAGGAGAGAGGCAGTGCTTTGTTCAGAATTTTCCTTCGTGCTTTCTTATTGAAATCCCACCATTCGGGATATCCAATGAGTTCGTAGCAGCGACTCTTGGAGTGTCCAGAATCTCCACAATGACTGCAAAGAAAAGGTTTGCTGAGTGATGGATCCTTGCGAGTTTTTTGAGCAGGGGTCGTGGTGGAGGAGCGACGAACGTGGGAGACCAGGGCGGAGGATTCCGGTGTAGATGCTGGTCGGCTCATGGTGACTCTTTGTTGATATTCACGGCGGAGGAAGGCATAAGCTCCCTCAAGATCCAATTTAGGATCCTTCCGAAGTATCTCCCCTCGAACCTGAGCAAAGTCCGAGTCTAATCCACACAAGAAAATGTACAAGCGCATGCGCGCCATGGAGGAGTGGTTCTGGACAACATCAGCGACGGTGGCAGCAGAGGAGGATAACCGGTGGTCAATCTCTTGAAAGATGGACAGAAGGTCGTTGTAGTAGGTTGAAAGGGGGTGGCCAAGCTATTTGGTGGAGAAAGCACGCTGATACAGTTCGAAGATGAGGGTCTCATCAGAACCGTCATAGAACGTTCCCCAGGTCGCGTCCAGATGGTGGCGGCAGATTCAAGGCGGATAAACCGCTGCATCAGAGGAGGACTCATCGATTAGATGAGCCAACTTTTCACCTTCGTGTTGTCCGTCACCCAGGCGTCGTAGGTAGGATCGGTGACGGTGGGCTTCGCCGTAGCTCCGGTGATATAACTAGACTTGGTTCGGGCACCAATTCGCATCTCCATAAGCTGGGACCAAAGCGAGTAGTTTGATTCATCAAGGATGAGGGTAACCGGAAAGGAGGAGGTTTCTTGCTGGATAATGATGTTGGACGGTGGGACGTTGGCAGCGACGTGAGGTGGGGAAGGTGGGGGGGGGGGGTTGCTGTTTGTATTTTCGTTTTCCATTAGATGGAATTAGGGATTCGGCGCAAGGTAGGGGAAAGAAGAGGTTGGATCCGGGTCAGGTGTTTTAATAAAAAGTGACGGGTGGGTGCGGGTCGGATAAGTGGGATATTAAAAAAAATGGTTCAGATAGAATAAAAAATAAGAAACTGATGTGCCTGGATCGTAAACTCTAAACTGATACCATGTAAAACTGCTGAATACTAAAATACTTTCAATTCATTCATACTTTACCTCTTTAATTGAGGTGTATTTATACACAAGTCATTTATAAACAGAATAAATCTAAAGCCTAAAAATCCTCTAACAATTCCCTAAACAAACTTTCTGTTACAAACAGTAATTCAAAAATACATTTACAATATTTCAAATTCAAAACTTCCTATTCTAACACAAACAACTTTTTTTAACTTTCTTACCAAACTCAGTTTTCTACCCTATTTCTATAATTGCATTTACCTAGTAAAAAAAATATCTCCTTTACCAAACGCCTCTGGAAATGGATCCTCTCATGTGTCAAAAAAAATGATATGGTCATGTGAGAAGATCACAACCATACAAAGCTAAATCAACGGTTATGATTTTATAACTACCTATTTTATCATTTTTTTCTCTCTCTTACTTTTTTACCATTGATCTACCTTTGTATGGTTATGATTCTCCACATGACATAGTAATGTGAATTTTCACATTAGAGGATCCGAATCCAACGCCCCTTATAAGGTCAGGTTAAGGCAAAGGCAGGGACTTGATCAAGATTCACAAATGACGTGTGGCCAAGTACAGTGAGAAGTGAGAACCGATAGATCGTGGACATATCCTCGTTCTAAACAGTTTTTGTGCTTGTTCAATCAGAAAACATAAAGGTTAAAAAAAAAAAAATAAGTAAACGAGTAAAATCGAAATGAGATAGAGTATTTTGATTGTTACTTATTATTATTATTTGATTAAAATACAATCATTTAAATTCATTTTCGTATACTATAGGAATGGTTAAAACGAGTACAATAAAATACAAATAAAAATGTGAGTTCAAATCTCGTTGGTCGATATGAGAATTTCGTTGGTGAACGATCAGTAATTCCTTCCAAAAATCCTCGAAGAGATTGAAAGATCTGTCCTCTCCTAATAAAATATCATTGTCTAACTCCACTTAAACTTTAATTATTGAGAAAAAAAAAGTTGCATTCTAATTTTGATATTATCACTTTTTTGTTAGACCCAGAAAAAGTAATTTCTGATATTCAAAAAAAAGAAAAAGTAATTTCAATCCTAAACTTTTAACCCCTATTTTTCGTCAACTATTAAAATATGCACAACTTAGATGAACCCTAACTTTTAGGTCCCGTTTGGAAAAAATATTAAAATAAAACTTAAAGCTTCGATAAGAAATTGTAGCTTAAACAATTAGCTTATGGTTTAAGTAGCTAATCAGAGCTTATTTTGAAAAATAAGTTAATTTGCATTTGGATGAAACACTGTTAAGTACTTACAACTACTAAAATTGTGAGAAAAAAAATACTGGAACATGCCTTTCGTACAATTTTATGGCTGAGTGATTAATTTCGATTCTAGGAACACACTAATCTTCACATCACACTTACAGTAGAGGAATATGGTGGTTAGAAAATGTAGAGAACAAAAGTTGAAATTTATTAAGATTCATGGGCTTTGCACTAAATTAACTCCGTACCGTCAAATCATGACGCCTAATATATAGTATTCAAAAAAAAAGAAAAAAAAAAATCATGATGCCTATATGAACTGGGCATATTTGAGTTGTGGAAATCTAACCGCAAGCTTATACATATTGGGCTTGCAAAAAGGAAAATAAAAACAATCTTTAAGAAATCATCTAAAAACCCGCTTAACCAAAGAATACAATACATTATGCAATATTCTTCCTTTTGTAATGGCCTAATGGGCAATATGATGAAGACATTATGTCATTATAAAACCTTTAATAAAATAATTAAAAAGCTCACAATCTGAAACTCCTAATTCCAGGTGCCAAGCACTTGAACAGTGGAAACTTACTCAGTGTCCTTTCAGAAAAATGTTACCTCTGAAAATTTAGTCATCTCTACCAAAGCCATGCAAAAGGGCATAAAAATCTGAAATCATAATTCAAAATCTCACAATACTAACTTCCTTTGAACTTGGCTGGAATATTTCTTGAGCAACTTTACACCCAACATTAGGTTCCTGGAGATTAAACTGATATCATTTTACAAAACTGAATCCTGGCAAAAGATTTGGCCTTTCAAGCAGACTGGGTTTCTGGGCTGCCCTCATTCTCTTCACTGCCCTCAGAAATTTCACTTGTGACATGTTCATCTTGCGGTGCTTCTTGTTCAGGCTTCGCAGGTCCTGGACCAGCTGATACCTTCACCATTGATGGACGCAAGAGGCGGTCACCAAGTTTAAAACCCTTTCTGAATTCTTGAATAATGATGCCATCCTCAAATTCCGCAGAATCCTCACGCATAATTGCTTCATGTAGCTTTTACAAGTAAAATGAAAATATATTCATCAGAAAAATGCTCATGACTGTCTATCTCCCATACCTTCAAAAACTACTAAATAAAAAATTCATGAAAAACAGACCCAGGCGTCTAGTTTCATTCCAGGTAGTAGCTGATACAAAATGTTGAGTCAAATAAATCATCTTACAGCAACCAACTGAAAATAATTCTCTAAGAAAATATGTTGAGATTCTCATACATATTTTTGCTGCAACGCCTTTTTTTCCTTGACATTTTTTGGAAACAATTTTAAACTCACCAAGTTGGCTCGAAACAATCAAGAATTGCTTTGACTTAAAAGCGTATCAAGGTCTTCAGGAAACCTGAACAAACTTGATTAAATGTTTGAAAAAATTCATCAAGCACGCGATTGAATTTCGAGCCAACTGGTTTGTGTGCCTGCATCAATCATAGATGACAGCATTATGTGAAAAAAGAGAGGTGGGACATGTCAAAACAAAAATTACAACATTTTCATGGAAAGAAAAAAAGACTTGAAAATCTCGAAAGAAATATTGCAACAATTCAAAGACAACAAAAACTATATTGCAGAAGTCAAACAGAGCTTAAGTGCAAAGTGTCCACCAACAAAATTGACAATTAAACTGGCTGGTGTACAAAACAAAATATATTGTATTAAAGCAATGTAATATAAACTGTTTGGTACACTCCAAGCTTTAAAAAAAATTGAACTTATCAGTTTCATTTTTAGATAAAACATTATCAAGTATCAACTACATGATAACTAGATTTTTTTTCTTGGAAGTCAAATATATTTGAATTCTACTATAAATTGAAAATGCTGATTAACTTACCAATGGATCAAAGGGTCTTCCAACTGTCTCCACTGATTCAACTCCAAGTGAGGATAGAATTTCACTGAACTGTTTATATATGCTCTGATAGCTGTTGCTTATTTTCTCCTCTGCCTCAGTTTCCAACTTAAGCTGAGCTTTTGCTCTCTCAAAATTATCCAATACAGGCAACAAACTCTCCACAACTTCCCCCTGAGCATTTGTGACCAGTGAAAGGCGATCTCTCTCAGTCCTCTTCCGGAAATTGTCAAAGTCTGCACTAATCCTTAGAATCCGATCTCTTTCTATTGATAACTCTTCAGATAAAGAAGCTATTTTCCCTTCAAGACCTATTTTCTCATCTTCAATGGATTTTAATGATTTCTCCAACTCAGCAACTTTGACTTCATCATTATCAGCTAATGCTTCTTTGTAAGATTGCAGTAACACTATGAAAGGTGAAGCAGGTGTTTCACCAGCATCGCTGACCTCGTTATCCCCTGTACTGTCCTCCACACTAACAGCACCTTCTGAAGAGTCCTGTTACATTAGTGTATCAGAATATTGAGGTAGGACAAGGAACTAAAACTAAAACTTCAAATTCTTGACCACTATTTCATTTATTAGAGGTGGCCAAAATTCCAAATGTCAAATATATGTATTCCTCAAGGGTGAAATCATACTCAGAAAAGAGGGAAGGGGTAGTTAAAAAAAAGCTCCACTAAGAAGAGTGAGATTGGTAATCACACATAAACGTCAACAAGGCTTTATGTAATTTTAAAATGTTTCTTAAATTAGGAAGAACAAGAAACAAGCATTGTGATAAAGATGATGGTGATCCTGCAAATGCTTAAGAAAATAACATACAAAACACAAAAATATAATATTAAAAAACTAAAAAATAAAATAGAAAGGAGAATGAGAGACATGGAAAGCCACAAAATATAGACAGGAAAAATACCACATATCATAATACTTGCCTACAAGGTTGTCAAACTAAGTAAACTCATGGGGGGAGAGTAAACTAGTTAATACAGGATCAGTAAAAACAAAAATAATTCGTAGTGGGGTTATCTTTGTAATTTCAAGATATCATTATTGATTTTTGTCCAAGAAAAAGCCTCTTTGCAAGTATACAAGGATAAAGCTGCGTATAAGGATTGTTCTCAGTTCTCATTCGGTCATTCCTACCCTCGCTAGTCAGAGTTTAATTGGGAGTGGATTTTTTTATTATTATTATTGATTTTTGTGGCTTCTGTTTATAGGTAGTATTTTAGGTTAGATTTAAATTAAGTGTTCAAGAGTCTTACTCGTAAATCCCAAGGACGCCAGATGGGCTCGCGTCTGTCAAAGATTACAATTTGGGAGTTGTTTTCTTGTACTTGCTTTCTTCTAAGTTGCGCCTATGAAGTTGTAGACTTGTAGTTTAATAATTGCAATTTGATATACCTACGAAATTAGGTTGGAAGGTCGTGGAATCTAAAAGGTCTTAGCTTGAACCATAAAAGCTAAGCCTCAGCAATCCTATTTCCTAAGTATTAAACACATAATTATCAAGAAAAGCATTCTTCTTTCCTGATCTGTTACATTACACCAGAAGAACCACCCATTGGCTGTGTTTGACTCTTTATTTTCTCAATCCTCTGCTCCTTAGTAGAAGTAACCCTAGATAGACTCTAGCCCCACATCACAAGCTTATCTACTGCAAAATTAATTTTAAAAACTATATCATGGTACCCTCAACTCAAGCAAGCCTACAGCGGCGGTAAAGCTGCTCCTTGGTGACTAAAAGGTCATTGCCTCATGGGTTTGAATCCAAGAAACAACTTCTTTGCAAAAGTACAAGTGTAAGGTTGTGTACAAGAAATTTCCTCACCCCTACCCTTGAAGTGGTCTTTTTACAATATCATAGTACCATCAAACATTAATTGGTAGCATTAACATTGAACATCCAAACATTTTAGTCTATGGGCAATCTTGTGGGACATTATAGTACATCTAATGTGGGTCTAATTACAGAATTTTGTTGCAAGAGCATACCGATAATACTTTTGAAGGAACTGGGTGAATGCCAACTATCTCAAAGCCTAAATTTTCTGGAAGTTCCTTTGCAGCATGTTATGCTCCATATTTTTATATTTAGAATTTACAAATTTGTTTCTGGTTATATCCTGAGATTCCTTTCTTCCTTTACTCTGATCACAGTCCTACATCCTCTTTCACCCTATTGGTCTCCCACCCACATCCCTAAGCATTTACAAGCTCACAACTTACAAATGTCACTCAAAATTTAAGCTTTGCCTAGCTTTCACACTCCTTCAAATTAAATAATGGGAAAAATGTTTCTGCTTTTGCTGCTAAAAAAAATTTCTGTCACACTTAACATAAAAATGAGTGGGTCCCATTGTAAAGAGAAGAGAGATAAAATATTAGTGGATCAAAGGCACATTTCCGCATTTAGTACGTCATATAACTAAAATTAAGAAAGTGAGCAAAAGAACAGGAAAATAAGATACTAAGAACAAAACCAAGCTTAAACTGATAGTTGATATCGCAATACAAAATGTATGATCATAATAAGGGGATTTCAAAGTTAATCCACCATATCAAATATCCATTCAATCTTATCCAATGAAAAATACCACAAGCTAAAAAAATGGCCTCCCAAGACTTTGCAATAAGGTGAGTACTTCAGGTGTTACTATGACATGAAGTAGTTGTCCTTACCAAATATCAAAAGCAAATTTTCCCCTCTAATTAACATTCCCCTGTTTCTAATAGCAAGTTCATAGGGGCAAAAAAAAAAAAAAAAAACTCTCATTTCAATACATCTCTTCTCACTAACAAATTTTGCACACGGAAAATGCTAAAATTCGACACATTTGGAATCTAAAATTCAACGTGGTTCCAATTTCATGTACTTCCTCAGCTTCCAAAACAAGGTGATAAACAATTAATAAAAGAAAAATGCATAGAATTAAAAAAAAAAAAAAAAAAAAAAAAAAAAAACTCACCTGAACTTCAAGCTCTGGTTCTTGAACTTGCGGGGCCTCGGTGTCGCCGTCAAAAGCAAAAGGAACGAACTTGACGGACCGCAGGGAGGGAATGCTAGAGAACCGCAGAGAGGTGAGGGGTGAGGGCCTCCTCCTGCAGGTAGTGCTCTGTCTGAAAGACGAAACGACAACGCATGAGGGTTTCGAGGACTTGGAAGAGCTGGCGGATGCCGTGCGCGACGGCTGTGGTGGCCGGAATGTCGGAGTTCTGAGGATGGTGGCCATCGATAGAGAGATAAGGGGCAGGTGGCGAATGTGGAATGCCTAAGAATTGTAAAAAAAAATGGTGGGAAACGAGGCCCGTTTGATAAGGTTTATGTAGTTTAATCGGGCGGTGGTGGTTGCCACTTGCCACACATTCGTTGTAGAGGAAAAACCCTGAAGGAAAGATCTGGAACAATCGCGAGTTGTCGCCGTCACTTCATTTTAATTTCGGTTGTACACTTAAATATTATAAGATTAATAATAAGTTATAAACTTATAAAAAATAAAGTTAAATATTTTTATATTTAGATTATGGGTAATAATTTTTTTATTCTACACGAGAAAATTATTATTTCCAATAAATTTATTTGTATAGTTGAGATTCTCGGTAAGGAAAAAAGAGAAAAAAAATAAAGTGAGACTCACTTCAAACTTATATGTAAGAGATAAATTTTTTTTTTTATCTAACATAAGAATAATAAATTCTTAATTTATAACTCTTATTATTTATTCAGCAATTTTATTTTCAAGGACTTGCTTGTCAAGTTATTGTAGCATCTTGTTTTCTTCAATATAACTGTTGATCTATTGTAGCTTCATATGTTTACTGTTTAGTTAGTTATATGCTCTCCCATTTATCAGTTGACCAACTTGGCAACATCATAGCATGCAGCAAGATATAAGTGGTCCGAGAGAAGAAACAATTTAGAATATTGACTACTAGATGCCACTAATTTCTTGATGATTGAAGAAATTTAAAATGAAGAGGACAATGACAAGTAGCCTTTTATTTATTTATTTGTTTATTATTTTATTACGTTTCGCTAAAGTACTGAGAAGCAGGTCCCAAATAACTGATAAGTGATAACACAGTTCATATGCTTCTGACTCAAGTCTAGAACCATAGCATAAAGAAGTAGGCAGAAAGATATAAGAACAAAGGTTGTGTGTTGTTAGACAGAAGAAGTACTTTTAACAATGCAAAGTTGCTTTGCTTTATAGAAAGAGACATCATTTTTTTCATTGTCACAATATATAATTGTATGCCACTACTAGTTAAGCTTAACAAGTTTTTCACTTCTTGTCACTCACAAAACAAACTCTGAAAGCTAATATGAATTACACTGTTCTCAACAAGTTTTATTGCTATAGATTTTAGGAGAAGAAGAAGGAGCTACTTAAGAAGGAACTTTAGATCTTGTAGCTAAAGCAACTATAAAGTCTCTGCAGTCCCCAGATGGAATTCCTTCATGTATAACCTCAGCGAGTTCCTTCTCATACATCTCCTCGAAAACCCTTCTAATCTCATCCATGTCTACCTCAGCCCTTCTTACCAATGCTCGTGCCAAAGTTCATCTGTCCCTTGTTTCCCCTTTCATGCTTGTATAGAGTGCCTGCTATTACTAACCCAAATTGTAACTTCTTTTCAAATAATCAATCTCCAACTAAACTATTTTATAGGAAGTGTGAAACAACAATTTGGGAACAGGCTAGAATCATGAGATAATAGGAAACACCTAGAGGGGGTGGATAGGAGTTTCATGTTTTTCAAAAAAAAAAAAAAAAAAATCGTGCATAGAACTTAAACTTTGATATACCTAGTGAAAGTGAACTAATTCAGCTCCTGAGACACAAGACCTTAACTATGATGATCAGACTTATTTAGGTGTCCTAGAATTATCTAATGAAGACTCAATCAAGCAGCTTGTATACTACAAAGAATGAATATACAAGATCCCATAATTGCCCAAATTTTATTCTATACGATGTATAGCAATAAAAAATATACCTTTAAGCTTTAACAATTTCATATGCGCAATTGTATTCACTTATCACGCTAGTTGTAACAATAATCCAAATTATATAGATTCCAAAGTTTAACTAACACGACTGACTTTATGAACTTTAGGACAAAATTGTACTTATAAATACAGTTTGCTATGTTGATCAGAGGCAAGGCTAATTTAACTGCTGTAAATTTCACATTCACATTATAACAGATTCACGTGTTATGGTTGTACTAATATGCCAATCAGAACAGACTAATGAAGCAATAGAGATAGGACAAATTAAGAAAAGCAAATGGAAAAGTAGTGAATTCAATGTCCAAGCAGATTATTAAGAATGAATTGAATTTTACCAAATAAATTCAATGGGTAATCTAATAGACTAGAATTGTGAGCTGTCCGGCGATCAAAAACCGGATATATCTTAATATAGGGTAGCTCTTATGGTAATGGTATGAACCAAGGTCCTTCAGAAGCTTTCATATGCTATGAGACAATGATAAAGGGGGGAAGGGTATGATGTTTAATGGTCAAGGTGGTTTTCCAATTGAACAGTAATGTGTATTTATAGGTGGGATTTAGCATTTAATGCGAAAAGGGCGAGTGAGGCTGGATGGGATGGTTTCATCCGCCGTCAGTTGTATTTGCCTTTGTATAAGGCGTTACCATGGCTGCGTGTTCCTGGGATTGAGGGGAAAAGGTACCTACTTCCTCAGAGGGAAAGGTGACCTGAGGGGCTTTAAGTGTGGGCTGGGGTATTGGGCCTAGGCTTAGGGTTATCCACTTGAGCTGGTCAAAACAGAAGCCCCCCGGTTTAATAGCCTGCAGAGTCAGGATAGTAAGATGTATCAGGTCAAATCCCGAGCATATACACTAACTGAGTTGTGGGAGGGCGAACGTGCCTTGATCGTTGTCTCATAAAGGGAAATGGTTCCATCTGATCACCAATGATAGGGTGTTGTTGCATCCAGTCGCCAAGAATTCTTTATCATCTTACTTAAGATTGTTTTAGTGTTTTCTTGTTTCTTCATTTTGCAAGGTCTTGCAAATGTGTCGTTTTGTGTAATCGTATCATATGCTTACTGGTCTTGATTTCCTATAGCTGGTCGTGGCCACGTGTGAATTTCCGAGTGGAGGAAATTCCTCTTTTGACAGTTTTTCTCTTGATTGATACGGCAGTTACGCTTCATCTTCTGCTGCAATTAACGCGACGAGGCATATTTAATGCGGCGTGGGGGTGCATTTAATGCGGCGCGAAAGTGTGCTTTCTTAGAAAAAGGCAGAATTTCCCTTGATCCGCGCCATTGATTTCATAAAACTGCCCTAGATCCAAAGTTCTTCATTTGTCTTCGATCTGTGCCATTGATTTCAGAAAACTGCCCCAGATCCAACGTTCTTCGTTTGCCCAATGATCTTATTTAGGAAGATTGTCTTCCCTCCCTTTTTCTTTTGTTTTCTCCGGTTTCTTGTTTGTCTCTGAACTTTCATCTTGTTCACTCTTCCCCTTTACTGAAGTTTTCGGTTTCATCTCTTCACTTCTTCCAAACTCACTACTTTTAGCAGGTATATCACTCTTCCTTTCTTTGGTTTTTCTTTCATGCTTTCGTTATTTTTGTGAGGGAAAAAGGTTGAGTATGGTCATTTTCTATCAATGTCTTTGTTGGAATAGCGAAGATTGAGGAGATCGATTTGAATGAAGTAAACGTTGGGTCTCAAATTCGCGAACTGTTTGTTCGCCATATGGAAGTTACGGGTACAATAATAGAGTCATTCCACGGTCCTCCTCCACCTACTGTGGCAGAGGGGGGAGATTAGTTGTCTTGGTGGCAGACCAAGTGGTGGTTTCGATGGTCTTTCTGAACTAGGGGAGTTGAAGGGCCTTATGAAAGAATTCCTGAGTTTTTAGGCTTCCAGGAAGAAGATATCCGTAACATGGTTCCTCGTCGTGGTCGTAGAGGAAATCGAAATAGAGGAGGACGGTGGGGAAATCTTAGAGGTCATGGCAGTCGAGCTGAGCATTTTGATGGTCAAGTAGGTCAGCAGTCTGGTCGCCCTAAGTATCGAACCCAACATACTTTTTTCTCACGCCTTATCTGTAACATAAACTGAGACCCTAGAAACCAACATTTACCAATGCTCTTTCGTTGCCCTATCCCCATCCGCGTTGTCAGATATATTCCTCAGATGCTAAAATCTTTTCATCGTCGAAAGATGGATGAGTCCACGGACAACCGAGAAGGTAGATTGCACCCGGAGGACGATCGAATAAGGCGTTATGGTATTTGGGATGCTATAGTTAGGGATTTACGATTAGATGAGGTGTCGCAGGCTTGGTTCCGTAGCGAGCTGATCAATTCTGATTTGAGTTCTTCTACTGATTCTTCTTCTAGTGGTTTTTCAGGATGTCACATATTGGTCTTCTTGCAGTCTATCAAGAAAAACACATTCGTTCCCAAGATTATAACTTTATGGTCTCTTTATAGTTCAGTCACGGGAAACACATTTGTTCCCAAGAATGAAGACCAATTGCGCAAATGCACGCATCAAGTAATAAAGGGGAGTGTTTAAGTCTCCGATTATTGTTCGCACAGAGAAAGTATTGCCAAACTTAATTTTAAACTATGTTAAAGAATAAAATAATGGATTAGCTGTATTGAAATATTCTGGTTAGTCGTTCCCCAGTATCAAAGTGGTGTCCCTCTGTGACAAAAGGTGTAGAGCAACTTAAAAAAAATTCCTCACATCATTATATATTTAAGTTCTTCTTAATTTAAGGAGGAACGATAAGTCATAGGAAAAGATATTGTTTGTGATGTGAAAAATTTGCAAAAAATGAGGTGAGCAGCGGAAAGCAGTAATAACAGGATTAACATGGTGAAGTGATGAATGGAACGGCGAGTTAAAGAAAAGGAATGGATACACTGATCCACTATTAAACTTACTATAGCATATGCTCAAGACCTCATCCAAAGTATTTATTCAGGTCTCTTCATTGCCAATACTAATTCCTCATCCCTTGGGCTAAAATGGTATACAAAGCCTCATATTCCTATGGCGGCCTTATTCCTAACATTTACACTAGGCAGAGCCTCAATGAACAAGGGGGTCCCTTTTTCCTAAGGCAACCAGTGAAAGTGTTTCCACATTCTTCACTTTCTTCCTATTGTTCAACTATCTGAAATTCTTTCCTTATGGAAGTTTCTTTTTTAGTTATTTTCAAGTTCCGCTGATATAAGATATTACTCCACTTAAACAACAAAAACCCCATTGAACTAAATACAAGAGATTCAGTCAAAGAGATTTAACAGCTTCACAACTTTTCCATTCCAAAAAGAAATTAGCTCATGTTCAAAGACATAGCTTAAAATACAAACATGATCTTAACAACTTGAGATCCCATAGACTCGAGATTTAAGTTCATGAAGATGAAATGGTACAAGAGAAGTTTACAGACTCAGAAACTTAAAACACAATAACTAAATACGGTGATAAACAAGAAAGTGATAGTTTTCTTGTGAGGAGTCTCAAGAGGAGAATAGAACAGAGAAGGGTGTTGCACTAAAGTTACACCAACATGCCAAAGATTTTTGTGCCTTCATTTGATCTTTTATTTATAGGCTGGGAAAAATAGAGACAATCTTGTGATTATTGCAAGTCATTCCCTACACATTGGATCGAAGATGTCTCTTCCTTTCTTCAATCAGACGATGGACTTTTAATTAAAGGGAATAAGATTGGAACTAAGCTGTCTCATTTGCTTTGTTTTCCCAAGGATGATTTTCTGACACTTAGACTCGTTCTGCATCTTTGTTCACGCTGTTGTATGTCGCGACATCCTTTTTTGCTTTATTGCACGTGTGTGCCCTTTTTGGAGGCGTTTTGTAACCGTACTATGCAGAAAAGCAAAAAGCAGATCAAAAGTAAAAGTAAAGACATCTCACCACTATTTTTATCTCTTTCTTTTCTCGCTTTTCCATGTTGGCAGTCACTCCTCAATGCAGACTAACCTTTATTACATTTATACTAATATTTATAACATACTTGTCAAAAACGTCGCCGTTCGCGGGTTGCGGAGGACCATCGCGTCCAACCGCACCGCATTGCACCAGTCACAGGTCGCGTTTGAAACGGTTGCAATAGCGGTTAAAAATAGCGTCTGAAGCGGTGAAAAATGCGGATGTACTGCAACGAAGAAGAAAGACTTATAGGCAAAACAGAAGACTTGGATATTTTTGTCCTTTTCATTATTTAATATTAAAATAACATTGGGCCTCTCTTTTAACTTTTGGACCTCTCTTTTTCTTTTAAATACCACTGACGCACTCCACCAAATGACAAAGACCTATCTATTCAAGTCGGAAGCTTTCTAATTTCTTTTTATTTGATATATTCTATTTCACGGATTCCTAGTTGCATCTTCCTTTTTTGTCTTTTTGTTGGCAGCTTCTACGCATCCTATAAGTTTTCTAACTTTATTCTATTCTTTTTTTTTGTACCCTCCTTTTTTTATTTTTTTATTTTTTTCTACCCTCTTTTTTTTGGATTTTTTTTCCTGATTTCTTCCCCCTTTTTTTTGTCCTTCATTTTTTTTTCTTCGTTATTTTTTTCTGACTCTCATAATAGGTTAATGCTATGTGGAGTCTGGTCATATGTTACTTTCAAATTTTTTTTGTTTTTGATATATAGCTTTCAATTTACTTAAATAAAAATTATGTACTTTTTTATATTTTACAAACTGTGAATTATTTTTTGATACATTACTTTCAATTTTTTGTTAAACATTACTTTCAATTTACTTTAAAAAAATTGAATTATTTTTACAAAAGAATTACAAATTTTTTTTATAAAAAAAATTACATATTTTTTATTTTATTTTACAAACTGTGGATTATTAAACACACTTAATAATGTTTAAAATTTAATAATTTTTTGTTAGTAAAATAAGTAAGAAAATACATAATTTTTATTTTAAATAATTTTAAAATTTGTATTCAAATACAAAATAATATTTTTTGAAAAAAATATTATAAACTAAAAAAGGGAGGTTATAATTATAATTTTTTTTTACTATTTTATAAATGTGAATTATTGAACACATTTCTTTTTTTTTTCCTGTAATTGCACCACAAGACTTACATCACCCGTGTACTTGATTTCTTTTTTCCCCTATATAGTAATAAATGTAGCTAGTGATGGCAACCAATGACAGTACACAAGAGTCTCATTCTTCTTGTGCTTTGGTTAAACCCTCGGGCCCATATCGTGATATGGCATGACAATGGAATTCCTTGAAGGATATCAATAACAAAAGGAATATGACATGTGACTATGTCAGAAGACAACAACAAGTGGAATTACCAGGGCTAAATACCACCGAATGGGGATAAAGGGAGATGTAGAGCCATGTAAGAAAACCCCCCAAAAGTAAGAAATACTTTGAAGGAAGCGTATGAGAGGAAGCTAGCTCATAAAAATGCTTCCCTAAATGAGCTACAAGAAGATGATGATGATGAGCTCGAAGAGGTGGGAGAAATCCGTAACATTCGAACTGGAAAAAAGGGAGTAACATCCGGCAGTGATTCCTCTACTGTTCCTGCCAAGAAAAGCAAGATTGTGAAAGGTCCCATGGACCTACTTCTCTTAAAAAAACCAGAAAACAACATCAAGTTGGGGGAAAGGCAAACAAGCATCAATGATGCTTGTGATAAGAAGCTAGAGCCAGAACAGTTCAATATTTGAGAGGTTTTTAGTAACGAATGGGATACCTTTCAATGTTGTACGCTCTAGAAGTTTCAGGTTGATGGTTGAATCAATAGGGAACTATGGTACTTATTTGAAGGTTCCTTCTTATTATGAATGTAGAGTTACACTCCTTCAAAAGGAGTTAGAGTACACCAAGGAATTATTGAAGGAGCATGGATAGAGAGAGTAAACTACGGATGTTCTATTATGTCTGACGAATGGATAGATAAGAACGGTAGAACTTTGATCAATTTATTGGTGAATTGTCCATCAGGAACTATGTTTGTCAAAAGTGTTGATGCTTCTTCTTATGTCAAGACTGGTTAGAAATTATGTCAACTTCTGGACACTTTTGTGATGGAGATTGGTGAACAAAATGTTGTTCAAGTGGTGACCGACAATGGAAGCAATTATGTTTTGGCTGGTAAGAGACAATAAACTCATTCAATTGTTAATATTTCAATTTATTTGTGACTCGTTTTCTTATTTAAGTATATGCTTGTGATGTTAGGGAAATTTTTACAAGCCAAGCGATGTCATTTGTTTTGGACTCTATGTGCTGCACATTGCTTAGATTTGATGCTAGAAGACATTGGAAAGCTTGATAGAGTAAAGAGGACAATAAAAAGAGGCATCAGTCTAGTAGGTTTCATTTATAATCATTCACTGGCATTGAACACTATGCGGCAATTCACAAGCAAAACTGAATTGGTGAGGCATGGAGTGACAACGTTTGCTACCACATTCCTGACATTGCAGAGGTTGTATAAGCAGAAAAATAACCTCCGAAGGATGTTCACTTCTGATAAGTGGTCAATATCTAAGACTGTCAAAGACCCTAAGGGGAAAAGGACAACTGATATTGTACTCAGTACATCTTTTTGGAATGATGTAGTTTTTTGTCTTAAGGCTATGAGGCCTATTGTGGGTGTGCTGAGGATGGTTGATAATGAAAAAAAGCCAACAATGGATTACATTTATGAAGCAACGGATAGGGACAAATAAGCAATTCAAAAGCATTTCGTGGAATTGGAAAAGAAGATAAGTATAAAGATATTTTAGCTATCATTGATAAAAGATGGGATTGTCAACTTCATCATCCTTTGCATGCAGCTGGGCATTATCTTAACCCTCAATTTTTTTATTCTAATCCAAGGCTGGATGATGATTTAGAAGTGGTTAATGGTTATTTAAAATGCTTCGAGAGGCTAACTGCAAATACATATGAGATGGACCAAGTTATGAATGAATTGGAACTATATAAGAAAGCTCAGGGTCTCTTTGGCATGGACTCAGCCAAAAGACAAAGGGATAAAGTGTCTATTCGTAAGTATTTGATCCCTTTAAGCTTTTATTACTACAATTTATTTAACTAGTCATATTATTGAGTTATTATATTTTGTATTATAGTGCAATGGTGGGGGACGTATGGAACACAAACAAAAGCACTAAAAAAATTGCCATTAAAGTATTGAGTCTGACTTGCAGCTCTTCCAGATGTGAGAGCAATTGGAGTATTTTTTAGCATGTAAGTACATGCTCAATGATTTTATTTATAGAGCTTCATAACTGATTGTGAAACTAATATGTTTTATTGTTAATTATCAAATAGATTCATTCCAAGAGGCGAAGTAGACATGAGAATCAGAAGTTGGAGGACTTGGTTTATATTAAATATAACCAAACTTTTAAATATCGATTTGACAATCGTGATCTGATTGATCCCATTCTCCTAAATGGTATTGATGAAAGCAATGAATGGTTGGTAGGAGATACGGGTGGTGATAGAGAATAGAATGAGAATGAACTTGTATTTAAGGATGATACCATCACTTGGGGTGACATTGCAGATGTAACTAATGCTGATGAGCCTTTAATTTACACTAGACAGCAGACAAAGTCCATTGCTTTGCCTTCAAGCTCTAAGGGAAAGGAAATTAAAGAAACTGAAGGACTTGAAAATGTGCCAGAACAACTGTACAATATAGATACTAGTGACAGTGAGGCTGAAGCAGACTTTGGTGATGGTGGAATTCAAGATTCTAATTAGTTCTTTTTGACATTTAAATATGGAAACATAATGGAATATGTTTTGGATCTTTTAATTGACTACTTGAAATTTTTGTTTGTTTTGGAGCAATTCTTTATTATTATTGATTGTTTTTATTTTTTAGCATATATATGTGTGGTATATCTAGGTTCTATTAGTCTATTCTGTTATTTACGCTATTTTCGCAACCGCAACCCGCTATAGCATTTTTCAGGGTTGGCCGCAATAGGCCGCAATCTGCTTTTAACTACTATAATTTATAACTAAACCTATTAAAAAGGGCAGAACGACCTTCATTCTGCACTGGAAAATGAAGTATATCAAATGTATAGTCATAGAAGATATGACATGCATATATCAAAGAGACGAATGTGCTTGACATCACTTCAGTGACTTCACTAAATTATGGTTTTAATATCTCGAAATCTTTGTGCACATGATTAGAACTATTGTCCTTTTTATATCCGTGACTTGATTCCATGACTTGAAGATTTGACACAGTTCTAATAAAATAAGAATTTATTCTTTGATGTGTTTTTTAACATGATTTTAACCTATAATTCATTAATTAGGCTTGTGAAATTTCATGAAAGGGGTTATGAATATTTTAACTTCAATAGTGAGCTAGACTTATCCTATGCAGGGTATAAGACCCAATCCATAAGTGGATCAAAAGGTCTAATAGTAAATAAATAAAGGCTAAGGAAACATGTTAATCCTACATTGATGTCATCCCGCCCGCATACAACTATGATATCAGCAACTTAGAACTTTACACTCACTCTAATAGCCAATAGCTAAAGGGTAGACACCTGATTCCACCTACACCTAGAAGGCATAGACCACAAATAGACATCTCGCGCGCGGGATAGCCTGCAAGAGCCAACTCAGTCCACCAATGAGACTAAGTGTCACCTACTAAAGCGCTATAAGCAGGACAACCGACTAATATATAACATAGGCTTGAAGCCTATGTATGATAATCTAATTCATCTTAACTAAAGCTCATTGATTAAATATTGACTTGTCTTGCAAGTATACCCATATTTGTCCTAGCTAATTAAGACAACCCATCATCAAACTCTCCATCTTGTATAAGGATCCCATTGACATATCCACAAAGAAATCGCTCCTTAACATCTAGATTGCTATTAGACCAGACTTAATTGTGTGTGGTCTAATCCAATCTCTATTGGACTGATCAAATAGTTTATTGGCTATATAATGATTCTGTTTTAATGTTAGGATGAAATGTAAAATAAGATTAAAAATAAAAAGAAGAAAATGAAAGATTATTATATAAAATGAAAAAGTTATTTTAAATTAAATAAAACATTTTTAATTTTTGACTTACACTTTTAAACAAATTGATAAGTACTCTATTCATTTTCTTATTTAAAGTTAAATTTAAATAAGATAAAGGAAAGAAATCCATTTCTTTTGATATATCTTTTCTAAGCTAAAAGCTACTTTTAAGCTAAAGTTAAAAAAAAAGAGTTTAAGAAATAAAACTAAAAATTGTTTAGTGATTATATAAAACTATTGGAGAGATGAAATAATTTGTTGTTAGGATGTATTATTAGGGTAAAGAGTAAAATTAGTAATTACAAATTTAGAATAATAGTGAAATTGAAGAATATATATGAAAACTCTAAAAAACTAGTATATACCTTAAAAAAAAACTTCTCTTGGGAGTTTTAAGTTTTTGTTTTTTATTTATTATAACAAAAAAATATTTTTATAATATTAATTTTTATAAAAATATATTTGGCTAAGTTTCTACTTATATGTATATTTGATAGTGTTCTATTTTTTTTTGTTCTTAAAATTGTTTTGTAGGATAGTTAATAAAATATTTTATTTTTATTTTTTGTTTGTTTTAAAAGTTAAAAGTTAAAACACAAAATAAAAATAACTCAAGTATCCTCTAAATTTAATTCTAAAAACTAATTTTTTTTATAACTTTTAGAATTAGAACTATTTTCGTGAAACAACCCTTATCAAACAAGTTTTATTTTTATTCTAAAAATCAAAAATTATTTTTAAAAAGAATTCAAATAGGACCAATCACGGGCTTTTTTACCCTTTTGCCCCTCATTAATTAATTAATAACCATTTTGCTCCTGATTCGAAACTATCTATCAATGCCCCTCTTTAATCGACTACCTTGCATTTTTAATCGATTAAATGGTCAAAACAGGCAAAAATGGTTGTTGGGAGATTTAATCGATTAAATCTCCATATTTAATCGATTAAATATCTCAACAGACAACAAAGGGAAACAAGTCAGTATGATTTTTTAATCGATTACGTAGGAAGATTTAGTCGATTAAATCTCCCAACAACCATTTAATCGATTAAAAATGCAAGTTAATCGATTAAAGAGGGCATATTGGTGGATAGTTTTGAATCAAGGATAAAATATTTATTAATTAATTAATGAGGAGCAAAATTGTCAAACGGACACCAATCACTTCCCAATCAGACACTCCACCCCTTTCTTTCCTTTTTCCACTTTCTTGCCGACTTTTAAAATAGCACTCATATATGTCAAGCTGATTTTAATTTGATTAGTTCTTGCTATGATATATAATTTTTATGATAATTTTTTTACAGAAATAGGATATTATGTTTACTTTTCTTTTTATATTTATCCTATTTATTTTTTTAATACCATTAGATCAAAATTTTAATTAATTTTTTCTCTCTCTTTTTAGATTCTGATTTGATAATGTTAACAATTAATATATAGAATATATATGAAAAAAAATTAGATCTAATATCCTATCTTTTTTAAATTATATTGGAATTATAAGTATTCCGGGTAATAGAACATTTATATTATGAGCTAATGAAATATTAAACCTCCATAGTGTGTGTATATATATATATATATATATATATATATATGGGGAATATTAGTCTCATATTACATGGGAGTAATTCTTTCATGCTATAAAGAGAATCCAAGTGAGGCCCACTATTAAAAAGCAAAAAAGAAAAAAAAAAGAGGGGGTGTGATTTTTAAAGTGAGAGAAAATGAGATCTAATGTAAAATGAGAGTAGTTTTTCTCTATATATATATAGGGTTTGCTTTTTCTACGGTCAATGTAGATAACTTATCTACATTGAGCCCAAAATGACGTCGTTTTGAGGCAGAAATCACGGTATTTTTATAATTATAATTTATTTCAGGGTTATAATAGTATTTTTCATTATAATTTTTTAATTTTCTAACCCAAAACGACGTTATTTTGAGAGCAAATGTAGATAACTTATCTACATTCATTTTAGAAATATTAAAACTGTATATATATATATGAGGTAGGATATTCATACTACTAAATTTTTCTACTACTATTTCACTACCACTCTAATCACCATTGGATTCAAAAGTTATTTTTCTTTCTCTCTCTTTAATCAACTTTTTCTCTAATCCAATGTAATTAGAGTGGTAGTGAAGTGGTAGTAGAAAAATTTGATAGTATGAATATCCTACCTCTATATATATATATAAAAAAAAAAATTAAACCGACATGTTTAGGATAACATATTTTGTGTTGATATTGGTTTGACAACTTTGACTATGTTGATTGGTTGTGTTGCTGAGCGAACAATTCTCCTACCTCCTGCCTGTTTGGCATTCTGCTACAACTCATTCCACACCCTATTAGGATAGGATATTATTAGATGACTTCCCTCTGTTCAGTCCTTAACCAGATTTACCAAACCATTAGAAACATCTTCAGAAGTTTCACATATGATAGCATTGATATTGTAGTCAAGTCGTTACTCTTCCGGTCACCTAATACTATTTTACAGTTTTTGAGAAAAAAGAAGAAGAGAAAGTTAGCTCCATTTTATTTTTTACACGGGCATGAGACAAGAGAAACTATATTCTCATTTATCATTTTTAAAATGTTTAACCACATACTTTTTTCTTTAAAAAACCACATACTTTTTTCTTCAAAAAATTATTATTATTTTTTTTAAATTTACCTATCTAGTGCATCTATATGTCCTGCTATATTGTAAAAGAAAAATTATGTGCGGAGATAACGTATTTTGAAATGTTTATGTATTCTATTTTAATTTTAAAAAGGTAATATATGAAATAATGTAATATTATGGATTTTTAAGTTAACTGTGACTAATTTAAGGGATAGATAAGTAAAATAAAAATTATAAATTAACTTTAAATAGTTTAGATTGTGGACTTTTCTTTAAATTAAAATTTTCAGTAAAAAATAAATTCATAAAGTATAATAAGAATAAAAAAATAAAAAATTGAATATATATATATATATATATATATATATATATAAAATCGAATATATGTATATAATTGAATATATATATATATATATATATATATATATATATATAAAATTGAATATTCCCATTAAAACATAAAAACCACATACAAAAATTTAAAACTAAACGTATCTTAAATGTGAATGGTTATATTGCCTATTTATTTAATCTTTCTAATTTTTTTTATTTTTTTATTACCTTTAGATTAAATTTAAGTAAATGGTCTTAAAGAAAATAATTTTATTATTGTTTATCTCTTCTTATTTTTTTCAACTAACTATATATTTTAATTTTCTCTATTTCAATCGTGGATTTAAATATAATTTAAGGATATAAAAATTAAATAGATAAGCAATATAATTATTCCATCTAAATATATTTTAAATTGACTAATTATTATTTACAATTTCCAAAATTGTGATAGTATTGAGAAATAAAATAAAGTTCAAATTAACATGTGGGTGTTGAAATGTCACACAAAATTGTTAATTAATATTTCTGAAAAAGATAGCTTCCGCCCATCTGTGTGTTTTGTCACTGTCTGCTGGAATCTGATTGGAATCCTCAAAGTGGGTCCCCTTGTCCCCTTCTTCATTAAACACCCTTTCTTTATTACTTACTTTAACCAAAAAACTTGTACTCTTTTTTGTTTTTAATGTGAATTTTAATCAAGATTTGAATCTCACCTTCATTATTTTCTAGAAATATTTTAATCTGCACAAGTAAAAACAAAAAATTAAAGCGAAAAAGCAAAAACATTTAGAAAAAAAAAAAAAAACAGACATAAACGTTAACACTTGTCTCTTTCCGTTACTTTTCAGAAATAATCCTGTGAACTTTTGAGTTGTAACTTGAAACTAGAAGACGATGAGTGTGTTGGAAACTAAAAAAAATAAAAACAAACAGAGTTAAATTTATTTATTTTAAATAACTAAAATTTGTTCCCAGAAAAAACAAAAAAAACTGTAAGAAAATGTGTGCATTATTGGTCTCTCTTCTTGTTCAGTTGTTCCTGTGAACAAAAAAAACCACACAGAGCGTTTCCAAGTTCCTGAGTCACTCGAACTTCTTTCTTTGCCGAAATTGAATTCCACCATCACTACGTCGTCGTTTTCACTTTGTCGAATTTTCCGTCACCGTAGCTGAAAATTTTGCATCTCTGAGGGAATTCCCCCCCCCCCCCCTTTTCGATTACAGTTTCTAGGGTTTACCGTTTCTCTCTGGTGATTGTTTTGGAAATGGGAAGCAGAAAGGAAGAAGAGAGGAATGAGAAAATCATCAGAGGTCTCATGAAGCTTCCGCCGAATCGAAGATGCATCAACTGCAATAGTATGGTAAAATTTTCGCACTTCCTTTTCTTTCTTTCTTTCTATTTTTGTTTTCTCGAATTTTTTAATGGAAGTGTGTTTTTGGTTTCAATTCGTTTTCGTTTTGAGTTTCCGTGTAATGTGGTTAATTCAGAGTTGAAACGTTTGGCGCTGAAGTGGTTTGGTTGGATTGAAATGAGAAAGCTTGGGAGTGTTTCAGGAAGTTGAGTTGAACATTGAATTGAAATTTTCAATTTTTTTTTTTTTTTTTGAGTTATGATGGGTCCTCCAAAATTAAAATGCTTTAGATGAAATTTGCATAGTAAATACTAAATAGTATTTGCTGAAGATGTTATCTGTTTAAGTATTTGAGGATTATTATTATTATTATTATTTATTTTTTGCAATTGAACCTTTGATGTTCTGTTTATTTGTATCCATTTTGGGGTTATATAATTTTATCATTATTATTATTATTGTTATTTATTTATTTATTTATTTGCAATTGAACCTTTGATGTTCTGTTTATTTGTATCCATTTTGGGGTTATATAATTTTATTATTATTATTATTATTTTATGGATTTTTGACTATTTGTGAAGAGAAATACTTTTTGAAAGTTTTATCTCTCCTATTATAAGATGATGAGTCCCAGTCAATTGACATGTAATTTAATTATTTGTACAGGGTCCGCAATATGTTTGTACGAATTTTTGGTCCTTCGTTTGCGTGACATGCAGTGGAATACAGTGAGTTCATTTTCATTTCATTAAATATACGCTCTGTGTTCTTTCAGTCTTTGATTTACTTTTTAAGAAAGGTAAGCTACTTTTTATTGTTTGTCAAGTCTGGAGTGTTTAAATGTGCCTGGCATTTTCAATGGAGATAACACATTCCGTATATAAAGTCCTTGTTAAAAGTTTTGACTTTTAAAATTCAGGTTTGAGTGTAGACTATATATATATATATATCATAAACACCTTATTTAAGTATATTGGTTAGTATACTTGGGTTTTGTATTACCAGGTTCAGCTAATTGTTATGTTTCTATTTGCATTCAAAGACAGTGATAATATAATAGTACTTTTAAGTCTTAAAATGTTTGTAGTGCATGGGTGATTTTAGATGATCTTATGGTTGAAATGTATAACGCATATGTGAAAATTTTAAGTGCCCTCAATATTCTTTAAAACATTCATCTCTATTGTAGTTTATAATCCACTTGTAATTAGAGGAACTCTTAAACTCAGAAATGGGAGTTCTTTTAAACTTCTGTTTTACTTGTGTGCCATGCTTGATGCATGATAAAATTAGAAAACGAGGAAGCCGCTAAAGTAATAATGATTGCTTTTTAAGAAAATAATATATTTTTATATTTAATAAATCCATTATGTTCACACAAAATATAAGCCTTGCTTTTTCTTTTTTTGAACAATATGTTCTATATAAGAGGGCGAGCCTCGAGCTGTGGTAAAGCTACACTTGTATGACTGAAAAGTCACATGTTCAAATTTAAGAAACTATCTTTTTGCAAAAATGTAAGGGTAAGGTTGAGTACAAGGATTTCATCAACTTTACCCTTGCAAGTTGAGGTTTCATGGGGGGTAGTTTAACAATATGTTCTATATCCTGTTCACTTTCTTTATGATGCTGTGTGCATATTTTTTATAGTTTAATGGTGATGGGCTTATGGGCTGAAAGGGAAGGAATGAGTGAATTAGTTAGTTAGTTAGGGAAATATTCTAGAAGGTTCTTGGTTGTTAGGATATAAGGGAGGGGAGTGTGTGTAGTGAGGCATGCATGTATTGAGTGAAATGGGAATTGGGAAAAGGATCTCTTGAGGCCTAGGTCTTTGGCTTTGAGGGTGAGTTGAGGTCTCTTTTGGTTTATATTTCTGCATTGTCATTTTCTTTCGTCATTTTCCGGTAGTGGAGTTTGTAATCGTTATCTGTTGAAGTTTGTAGGAAGAATATGGAGTTTATAAATGTTCTGTTTCTCTTTTGTTATTGTGGATACTGTCACAGCATGTATCTCTAAAGTCTCATTGAGTAATAGAAGTGTTTTTCTTGTTCATTGCTGTTAAATTGTTGTTGCATTTGTTTGGCTTCCATCAAATGGTAATAAATTATTCGTAGTCTTACTTTTACTATTTATCCTTTTTGGAAAGTCATGTAATTTTGTTGGAGCTGAATTAGTGGTTTTATTTGGTATAATTTACAAGTGTTGAAATTACTTCTTTAACTTTATATCATGCAGTCGTGAGTTTACCCATCGTGTGAAGTCTGTATCTATGGCAAAGTTCACTGCACAAGAAGTTGATGCTCTTCAAAATGGGGGTAACCAGGTACAATGGTGGATCGTCTTCCTTTTGACATTTGGTGCCACTTTATTTCCTTGTCAAAATTAGATTTATCTGTGATTATTTCATTTCAGCGTGCAAGGGAAATATATTTGAAAAATTGGGACTTCCAAAGGCAGCGGTTGCCAGATAGCAGGTCCAATTTTTTTAGTTTTCTGTTAAGGCTATTAAATTAACACGATATTTACATATCTGAATATAACTCATTATGTGACGTTATCATGTTTTGATTTTGCAGCAATGTTGATAAAATAAGAGAGTTTATAAGGAATGTATATGTGGATCGAGGATACGCTGCAGCAAGGTCTTCTGACAAGCCTCCAAGAGATGTGCAGGCAATATATTTTTAGATGTTTATCTGCATATAAAAGAGGGCGAGCCTCGAGCATGGTAAAACTGCTCATTTGTGACTGAAAGGTCACGAGTTTGAATCCGGAAAACAGCCTCTTTGCAAATATGCAAGTGTAAGGCTGTGTATAAGGATTACTCTCACCTCTACCCTCGCTAGTCGGGATTTAATAGGGAATGGTTTTATTTGTTTATCAGGATAACTATTCTTCTCTGAAGCTTATTTTGCCTTAGTCTTAGAGTTGGATATCTCAATTTTTTCTCGAAACTGAAGTAATGGATATATTTGGTAGTGCAGAATATGTTTTAGTGTTTCCCTTGTTTTAAAATATTAGATTTTTAATTCAACTCAATTCAGTTCTAAACATTGCACGAGTAAAGAAATATACAAAGAAATAAATGAATAAATTGATCGTCATGGTTTTATTTCTTGTATTGTGCTTATAAGTATTTAATGTAAATTTTCTACTTTTGAATTGCATTGAAGTTAAATGTTTGCAATTACAAACGAAATCCACTAGACATAATTGATTACTTCAGTATCCTTGTAATCGGAATTAATTTTTACCCTTTAGTTTAATGCCGAACATGTTATATTTGCAACTGATTGTAGAGCCCTAGAATCCATGAAGATGATACAAGGCGTGCTAGTTCTTATCACTCGTTTTCTCAAAGTCCTCCATATGATTACCAATATGAAGATCGAAGATATGGAAAACAAGCAGCTGCACTGACCAGGAAACCTGGTTCAGATAAAGTTCGCTATGAAGGAAAGATGAGTAGTATTATCTATAGTCCTGGTCGTTTCAGTGATCAAGTATATGGTGACAGATTTGCAAATGAGGGATCTGGTCCCAGAATTTCTGACTTTTCTGTGTCTAGTGGTGGCGAACAATTCAAATCTGATGTTCACTCTCCCAATTCTGAAAAGGATATTGGGTTTAATAGTCCACCCTATCAGCGTTCTGGTGCCCGTTCAAGTGAAGATGTATGGTCTCATGCAAGAAGTACATCTCTGGAAACAAATTCCAAGAGAGAAGCAGATGGAATTCATCATCCCCAGGTTTTTTTTTTTTGTTCTTTTTTCTATGGGAGATAAATAGATGCGTGCTTGCTTAAAGATAACTTTTTTTCCCATAATAAACTTGTATCAATGAGGGTGAGCCTTGAGCAGTGACCAAACTATTTTTTTGTGAATGAAAGGGTAAGGTTCAATACAAGAATTTCCTCACCCCTACCCTTGCAAGTCGGGGTCTCATGAGGAGTTATTTTAATAAACTTATATCAATATTAATGGTGAGTGCTTCTGAAGGTTATTCACATTTTCACTTTTCTGATTATCTGATGTGAACCAAAAAGATTTAGATGTCTAAAATTTGTATTGGAAAATATTGGTTCAGATAAAATGGTTTTTCATTTAGGAATCAATTATAAAGATATAAATCTCAGTTCTTTACCCTTAACATTGGAGGCCATAGATTTGGGATTAAGCTGAAAACGTATTTTATCCTGCTGTAGGCATGTAAAAAAAACTCTGTATTTGTCTGTAATGTGTCTTCTTGATCAGTTTTTCACTTGATTTCACTGTCTGTTAATGTCAATCGCATCTGTAACGGTCCATTAAAAAGTTAAGATGCGAAGTCTTCTTTTTAACTCTCACGTCTGCTGAAATACAAATGGGACTTCTGATTGATTTGTTTAATATTGGTGTCCAGACTTTCAAAAGCTACCTTTCTAAATTGGTGAGGGATTGACTGAATTGGGTAGTTTATTGTGGTTTGAGTTTTCTTGGTGAATAGGGATTTTTTTTTGTTATATTCAAAGTGCTTGTGATGTTATTTCCGTAGTATGCTGATCATGTGTTTCTCTATTACATGACATTAATTTGTACTATTTTCCCAGAGAACTACTTCACTAGGATCAACAGACAGCAACCTGTCATCCTTAAGATCTTACAATTCTGGTGGTTTAGTTGATTTTTTCTCAGAACCTATCCAAGCTTCTGGATCTCTTCAGAATAAAGTGTCTTGTGTTCCACAGCAATCTGGTCTGGGAGGTTCTGTTAGTTCAGATCTTTCCAAGGCACCGGTGGCACATAAACCATCATCTTCATCAGCTTCATCTGTTGATCTTTTTCAGTTGCCAGCTGCACCTTTTAAGGCTTCAGCAGTGGATCTGTTTCAGACATCTGTTTTATCAGCTGTTCCATCTATCAATGAGATTCAACCCACGCAAACATCCCAACCATCATCTGTTGACTTCTTTGTTGATGCTTTTCAGCATCCATCTGCTTCAGCCTCAAATGAGAAGTCAGTAGAGTTATCGGTCCCCGAAAATGAACGATGGGCAACATTTGACACACCTCAACACACAACATCTACTGCACGAGTTGAAATTCCAGCAACAGTATCTTCAACTGCTGACTCTTTGCAGGAAATATTTGATCCATTTTTAATCTTAAATGCAAATATGCAATGGCCATCTTTTGAAACATCTAGTGTTAGTGTTCCTTCTTCAGTTAAATCTAATATATGGCATGATGGTGTGCAAAATGGAGAAGAACAAGTTTCTGTTACAGCCACAAAGAGTCAAGTAAGTACTATGAAGTTTGGTGCATGTCTGGTTTGTATTCTTGTGCTATACTCCATAAGAAATACACAATATCCTATGCTTTCTTAAACCTTTCGAAATTGAAGACACCATGAAATAAATTGAAACTTAAATCAGATTTGGTATGTTGAGACTGAACAGCCATGGAATGCATTTGAAGATTCTGGCACTGCTATTCCTGTGGATGCCCTTAATCAAGGATTACAAGTGCACAATCTTCCGTCAACTGATGATCAGTTTTTGGAAATACAAGCTTCTGAGGTTGGTGTCTTTATGATGTACTAGCATGATAGTCTGTATGTTTTTGAAAATAGAAAAAATTCTCAACATGTATTTCTTTTACCAGCTATCCAATAAAGGTGGGATGCAAGGCATTGCCCCTGTTAACGGGTTTGATGATCATGATCTCTCATCACATTTTGTTAGTGGCTTACCATATCCTCCATCTGCATATCCTCAGATGGTTTGTGATCTTAGATTGCTTGAGATTTCTTGTTTTTCAAGTGGCAGTTCTATCTTGTTTGTTTGTTTTACTTTAATTTTTTTTTTTAATTCATTTATTTTGTTTCTTCTTTCAGGGAGGGGTTCAACCTAATGAAATCAACCGTAAATCAACTAATCCATTTGATTATCCCTATGATTCTGATGTAGAGCACAATAATATGGTATGTCATGTTCTAACTGTCCATAAAAAATTGTTGCTACCCCACCACCCAGCTCCAAAAATCTAAAGTACTTTTTATGTAGATTTTCTAGAAAGCTCCTTTTTTTGTCCCATTTGATGCTTTCTTCACTTCTGAAACCTGAAATATGCTTATAATTCTAAAGCACCTTCTATTATGATCGAAATTAACATTCTGAAAACTACTGCCTAGTTTTCTCTTGTTGATGTATTAGTCCTGTATACACTTATATCACCGTAATTTAAACTCATAACATGCTTGTATTGAACGTCTGAATTTACATATAATTTAGATGTTTTTAGTATGTCTAAAGCTCAACCTTTACTGCTGCATACTGATAATTTTTAAATTTGACTGTGGATTTTGGGATATAGGATACAGAGAGATAGTAACTTGTTCTTCAGTTTTCTGTTGTCTGTAATATGTGTGCAGTTTCCATTGCAATTCCTTGATATCAGCTCTTTGCAAGCTGCTCTGCCGGATTCCCAGTTACCACCCACCTTCCACAGTGGTATTGCTGAACCATGGCTCCCTCAAAATTCAGTGAACCCTTATATTTCCTCTGCAGGACAAGGTAGTCCTTCAAGACTCATACTAAAAGTTCAAACAACATTTTATTTATAGTTGTCTGACTTCATCTCCACTGCTGTTAGAATCATCTCATTTATGTTCACACAAGTAAATGCTATTCTTATATCTGTTAGTAGGATTTTAATGCATTTCAAATATCTGGTAAGATTTTCTTACTGTCATCCTATTCTGGTTTTGGTTCAATTATATAGGTGGTTTCACACTCATGGCTGCACAACCACCAAGTTCCCAAATACCGTAAGTTATACATGGCCCTTTTTTTTTTCCTGGATACGGCGGTTGAGATGCATTGTAATCTATCAATGTGTGTTTACCTTGTGATTTTATTCTTTCTTCTAAGATAATAAGTTATTGACGTTTTCAACTCAGTTGTCACCAGTCACCGCCGTTAGAAAAATGTTGTTGGGGAGTTTCTGATATCACCTTTCATACAAAATCAATGATTCAAAATATAACATGCTCTAAAATACTCACAATGGAGGCAAGCAAATGCTATTGGGAGAGAAAGACCTTCACTTAGTTGTCTTAAGTTTTTGAATGGTCCACCCAGTGGCGGAGCCGGCTCAAAAATTTAGGTGGTGCCAAAAAATTTAACATATTAAATTATCAAAATATTTATCGTAATTACACAAATTTATCAGGAAAAAAATTTACTATGAATTCTAACATAGTTATCTAAATTATGTACTAAATAATGTCACATAATATTAAAAGTTCAAATGAACAATTGTCGTTGATTATATATCAAAACAAATATATAAAAATGCACTAACCTTTTCGGTAAACATTTCAAACATAAGAATTTTACTTTCCTCCCACAACATAATAAGTAATAAACCAAATATTATCCTAAGGATATGAAAACACACAAATATAATAATTATATGTATAATAAGCATTATCCTTCGTCTCCTCTTTCATTATCTCTATTCCTTAAAGTTTCAATATCTCACGTTAGAGAACATCGCCCTTGTTTGCAACAGCCATAAGCACGATGGAAAGTTCTCACATTTGGGAATTAGGTTTTTGACTATTCTTTGTGTGTGCAATCACCCAAAACAAAATAGTTCAATGGACCTTCATATTTCATAATTATAGTCCTATTATTTATTTAGTTTCATGATTGTTACTTTCAAGGGTTAAGTGTTTATCCTTTTAAATGACACAAATTATATCCTTTTAGTTTTTAACACTATGTCTTACCGGTAAGACATAGTTATAACATGGAAAAAAAATTCTCTCCACATCAGCTGAAGTGACTGAGGAAATAGAAAAAAAAAAAGTAATTTTTCATATTATAACTATGTTTTACCGGTGAGATATAGTGTCAAAAACTAAAAGGATACAACCTTGTGTCCTTTAAAAGGACAAACCCTTTTTCCTACTTTTAAATGTGTTTATTTGATTTAGTTGGGCCCAAATTTTGAGATAGGTCATCTATTCATTTTTGTGATTAAGTGTAGAAGTCTTTCTTTTTTAAATAATAAGAGTAAGAATAACTAACATAACTTATTAGAATAAAGCAGAAAAAAAATATATACAGGATAAAAAATAAAAAAAGGTAAAATACAAAAATAACCATACTATACATCCTTATTATTTGTTTGCATTTACATGATTTGTTGTTACTTTGTATTGAGTATTTGATTTTCTATTTAAGTGGTGCCAAATTATAATTTTTACCTTAGTTAATTATAATTAATTACATAATATATATAATAAGTAAAAAACAAAAAAAAACAAGCAGGTGCCAAGGCACCTGCTGGCCTTCACGTGGCTACGCCACTGTCCACCCTTCATGGATATCCTTGGTAGTCATGAGTAAACTTCATCAAGTCACTGAAGCCACATGATCTTTGTATGCCAATATTGAACGGATTGTGCTGGCCCATTGGGTTCTGGCTTTAATAGATCCAATGTGCAATTGTAATATATTATATAGTTGAAAAGTCTATAAATTTTCCATGTAACGTATGCAAAATTTTAATATTATTTTATATTTTAAATTTTTGTTGTTAATTAATAGTAATATAAAAAGCTGCTTTATTATATGGAGGTGTATTTTCAGCATGGGGGTAGATTGGAACAAGTCTCACTATCATAGGAAAAAGTGACCCTATAAAGTTAGCGTGGGCAACTTCTGGTAGTATGGTTTTTTTTGTTTATATGTTTTCGGATGTTCATTGATTTTTTGAGTTGATAATTTACAGGAATGTCCAGACACAGGGACCAGTTGCTTCTTTTGGGGGTAATCCTTTTGCATAGGATTATGCTGTAGAAGGTGGAATCAGTCATCTAGAGATTTATGGATAGCCAGTTTAGTTACTCATGAGAAAGATGTCAATGCTTTTGTTTTTATCAGATTAAACTGTTTTTCCCATTACTTTCATGGTAAGGAAGGCCTTGCAATTCATAGTCCCTACTATGTATAGGCCATGCATTTGTAATGTTGTAATTGAATGTCATTGTAGTTAGAATTCTTGATGTTTATTAGTGTTGTGGCAGATAATGAACATGATCAAATTGGATTTTAGATTGAGAGACTTTTGAAGGTATTCGACTTGGTTTGCAATTGTAATTGGACAGAGTTCAAGAGCATTTGATTTTCTCCTCACACCTATTCTTTGTAATTCAAAGCATGGTAATTGGTTTGAATTCATTCTACATAGCTACTACTACTCCAACTAAGAGCCCGTTTGTTTGGCTTTTTTTTTTTTTAAAAAAAAAAAAAACAGCTTTTATACTCTATTTATTTTAAAAGTGTTTTTTTTTACAAAATTTAAAGTTATTTAGATTTTTAAAAAAATATTGAATTTTTGAAAAAAAATGTTTGACTTTTAAATTTTGATTTTGATTTTTTTTAGAAGTTAAAATTTGTATCTTTCAAAAAAAGTAATTTTTTTGTTTTTAAAAAGATATTCAAATAAACTTAATACTTTCATTTTAAATGAAATAACTCATGTTGAAATTTCAAATTTATTTTTATAAATACTTATATATTTGGATAAAATTTCACCAATTTCAACAAGACAAAAATTATGTGAAAATTTAACATTAGAAAATCCTTAATTGTTCTATTCATCACATCTCGTGATTTTATACTAGATAAATCGAAAATAGAATTCAATTAATATTCTTAATAATCTTCTCAACATTAACTAAAAAATCCTCCAAATAAATCAATAATTTGAATAAAATGGATTCATCAAAATTATGCAAAACAAATTGGAATAAAACCAATGTACTACCTACTAATTTATCTCAAAATATGTGATGCCTTTATGGACTTTCAAAGAAAAAAGCAATAGTGCTTTCAGGGCTCTCAATCCAATGCGGTTCCTCTCTCTGGATAAACTCCAAACATATGATGTAAAACAGTTCACCCCCTTTTTGCTGTTGAGTAACATCATTCTATATATATTTCTTTTGGCCACTGGCTCCATTGTCCCAACCTTTTCCTCAACTTTTTGACACTGGTGCTACAATAATATGAATATGAAGGCTGTGTGCAAGTTGACACAAGTTGTTATTACCCTTTGGATTGTGCTAAGTGTGGGACTTTGTTCCATTACAAAATCATTAGCAGCTTCAAGTTCAAGGCAGTGTTATTTCCCTGCCATCTTCAACTTTGGGGACTCAAATTCAGACACTGGAGGTCTTTCTGCTGCCTTTGGACAAGCTGGTCCTCCTCATGGAGAGTCCTACTTCCATCACCCTGCTGGTCGCTACTGTGATGGCCGTCTTACCATTGACTTTATAGGTACTTTCATCTTTTTCTCTATCCTTTTTTTTTTTTCATCTTCTCATTTGCTAACTCAAACTAGTTTGTATGGTTTTTTTGGGTGAATGAGTAGAAAACTTAGGATAATGTTGTTCTTTTTTTATTTTTCTTGCATAAATTAAACTCAATCCAAATACTAAGAGATATCCTCTTGATTTAGAAAGTGCTTGGTTATAAAGATTAGGAATTTTCTAAATTAAGAATAATATCCCATGTCTGTGAGAATTTGCTTCTTTAATTTTCTTAAAGATTATACATTTAAAGGGGTTTTAGAAGAACTGAAATCATTTTCCGTTTTATTTTCTTCTGGTTTTTATTCGGCTTTTATAATTCTCCACCGACAGAATCAATATAACAAACAAATTTGGTAAGCCTATCCCTCTATGTCGGTATACACAATTCCTGAATCCAACCACACCATGGAACTATATTATAGTTTAATTGTATAAGATTTGTTTAGCTTAAGATTCGTTCCTCAAATTATTCATCTGCACGTGAAAATTTTTTCGTGCTCCAGCCCCACATGGTCCATTCAGGAAGTGACATTTACATAAAAAGTTATTTTTTATTTTTTATTTTTTTTCATTAATTGCATAATTTTGATTAATTCAGATCAGTGAATAAATGGTAGTCCGAGTCCACTGAAATTCTTCTCACATATCATGTAGCTATCAAATCTAATAATTTAATTCAAGAAAATTGCAACAGTAGAGAATCTGAGAAGGCAAATTTGTTATTAAAAAAAGGGTCACTATTTGATCATTTAAAAAACAATTGTGAAAGATCATAACACAATAATTTTTTATGCTGCTTTTGATTAATTAGTCAAATAATTGATTGCAATACTAATCTCTAATTTGGTTGTTGATTTGAACGTCAATAAATTTGTGTTTTTTTTTTTTGTCACCATCTATTATTTTAGAATCATGTGCAACAAAATATGTAGTAATGAAAATCCTGTAGGAAGAAAGGCAGCTCTTATAAAAATTAAGGCCACGTACGGAGGGCGATTCAAAATGGAAAAGATTGGATTAAGAAATCCTGACAAAATCTATTCAATATTTATAAACAAAATCTATCTATGACATTGACATAATATTTAATTAACTTTTTTTATCTTGACAAAAAGAAAATGTTAATTTGTGCGTTCATTTTTCATTTTGTGGATTAAAAGCTGAGAAGCTGGGCGTACCCTACTTGAATGCATACCTTGATGCGGTTGGCTCAAATTTTAGGCATGGAGCCAACTTTGCAACTGCTGGATCAACCATTAGACCTCAGAATACAACCCTTCATCAGTATGGTGGTTTCAGCCCTTTCTCTTTGGATGTTCAATTCAATCAGTTCAATGATTTCCAGCGCAGGTCCCAACTTTTTCGCAATAAAGGTAATGTCAACATTATGAATTTTATTTTATGTGCATCATATCTATTCATAGTCTTCATGTGAAATAGAACTCTCCTTAAAGAAATGAAGGGCATCCACAGAGTGGCGGATCCTGAGAAAAGACACGGCTAGTGCCAAAAGATCCAATTAGTAAAATCTAGCTAGTGTCATTGTTATATTATTTTTAAAAATCTAACAAATATCAAAACTATACCATAATTTAAAAAAAAAATATGTAGCATTATTTAAAATCAGTTGGTGGCAAGAACCAAGTGGCTCCCCACTGCATCCAAGTATGTAGGAATCCATTAAAAAGATATGAAAATGTTAGTCATCATTTTTTTCTTCCTTGTAGGTGGTGTATATAAAACGTTGTTACCAGAAGCAGAAGATTTTTCTCGCGCATTATATACATTTGATATTGGCCAGAATGACTTGACTGCGGGTTATTTCCACAACATGTCCACAGATCAAGTTAGAGCTTATGTTCCCGATGTTTTAATTCAATTCAAGAACGTAGTGAAGGTAATCCATTTTATTAAATGCAATTCCTAAAAAAAGAAAACTATGTCCTAGCTTATGCATAATGCATCACATAATTAACATGCATGTTTGTTGAAATTGTTTGCATTGCTAGTATGTGTATGATCATGGAGGAAGGTCATTCTGGATTCACAATACGGGTCCTGTGGGTTGTTTGCCATATATCTTGGATCTTCATCCATTAAAAGCATCTCAAGTGGACAAATCAGGATGTGCAATCCCTTATAATGAAGTTGCTCAGTTCTTCAATAGTGAATTAAAAGAAGCTGTTTTTCAACTCAGAAAAGAACTTCCCTTGGCAGCAATCACCTATGTTGATGTTTACTCGGTCAAGTACTCTCTCTTTAGTCAAGCAAGGAAGCATGGTAAACCCTTTGTTGGGGCTTTGTCTGGTTCATGAGAATGTGTTTTATGTTTGGAAATAAGAGTATTATTTCATGTGATGAATGCAGGTTTTAAGGAACCTCTGAGAGCTTGTTGTGGGCACGGTGGGAAGTACAACTACAATATGCACATTGGATGTGGGGCTAAGGTTAAGATTCATGGAAAAGAGATCCTGTTGGGAAAACCATGCAAGGATCCATCGGTTTCGGTTATTTGGGATGGTGTTCATTACACTCAGGCTGCTAACAATTGGGTGTTTGATCAAATCGTAGGTGGTTCATTTTCTGATCCACCTATTCCTTTAAATCTGGCTTGTCATAAGCATCCTTAAAAGTGTTCTAAACCTCTGTCTTCTCTCTGTCGCCCCATAATTTTGTCTTCCTAGGAAAATACTCTCGTGGTAAGGAAAATGTTACACCTCTCGATTTGTAAAGAAAAACCTCTCTCTTAGTTGATAGCATTTCATTGGAGGAATAAAATTGAGAACAGAGGATTTAAGTTCTGCATGATGGTGGGGACCGAGTTCACTTTAATCTTCACCAGTGGCAGATGTTTCATTTCTTGAATAATTAAATTTGGGGTTGAGTTATTATTATTTTTATTATCTGTAATGCATCTCTTTATACAAGAGTTTGTTGGACATGAAATGTGGGCAATTCACATACTCTCGCAAGTGTTAAGAAATTTCATAGTTAAATATTTATTAAAAGAATGAGACAGTAAGTACCTTATGATCACTTGGGCATAGAAACTTTAATACCATATTAACAAGCTATTTTCCTAATGTGAACTCTAAAATGTGTTTGAAAGGGCAAGATTACAATGTCGTTTTTTTTTTTTTTTTTGAGAAAAAGAATGATGTTCTAATTAATTAAGATACTAGCTTTGTGAAAGTGTCTGAAACTAAACCTTGATCTTTTTCACAAGTGCTTTAACAAATACATCACCCATAATGTATTTTATTTGGGAAATTACTCTTTAAAAAAAAAATGTATCTTATTTCAATTCACTAAATATCGTTGACCCGTTTCATATATTAACAATTAAACCTATAATCCCAAGTAGAATATATAATACCATAATCATTTGTCAGTTTGTTTTTTTAAGCTGAATTACTTGATAGTATTAATTCTTGGGATAAATTGTTCTCAGCATAAAACGATTGAAATGAAAGTACAAGTGCATATAAATAATAGATCAGGTATCCTTATTATATATATATATCACGAACAATGCAGCAGGTATAAGCTTTCCCAAATTGTCTGGCCTAGGAAAAACTATATTTTACACATTGAATGCCAATTTCAGTCCAGCACAGGTTGTAAAAGTAATTACTCAAATTTGAAAACCGAAACAAACTATTTCCCTTACCAAAAATTTAACAACATGAAATTAACTCATACGGAATATAGTTGAAAACAATAACAACCAAAGAAAACTACAACATAGAAAAAGGTACGGGGGATTATGGTCTAACAAAGACAACAAACATTTTAAAATGTCAAATAGATTCTTTGTCTTCTACATCTGAGAGATTCTCTGACTCTGGAGTATACCATTGATATGCTGGGGGTTAATTTAATCCAACATTGAGTAGAATTTCAAAGTAGTGATCAAATAATTTACCCGCTTCATCTCCACTCACGTACCATGGAAGATCTACTTCATAGATAATTGTCGAAGTATGATTCTTTAGATTATAGGAAACGATTTTGGAGTCGACCCACAGCACAACGATCGAGTCCTCTTCATTTGCTTGGTGAACAACACATAACACAGAAAATGGATGGTGAAAGTGTAGCGGAAATGCATCTCCTATAAGATTAAGATCAACATGATATCTCACAATCCATGCGGAGTAATCTTCCTTCAGCTCCAAAATATCAAAATCCAAACTTTCCTCATTCTCAATTAGTATCAAATGCAAATGCCCTTTAAACTCCCCAAAATACTTAACATGCATATTCTTACCGTCATTGGATGCTGGTTCTGGCAATGAGTTAAAACGTTTCTGATAGACATCAAAATAAACAGAATTCTCACCAGGAGTGTACCAATGTATAGCACCATTACAGTAAACACCAGCATCAACAATGAAATTTGGTGAACCTGTAAAGAAGACTACAGCCTCATTCCAAGAACCAGTCTCTGACGAATATTCTTTAATCTCAAACTTGTTGGGACAAGAAGTTTTATCATTTGTGATACTCCCACTACCACTTTTTGCTCTTAGGAACAAAACAACTTTAAAGTGAATGGATCTCAAAGGGTCGAAACACAAATAAATTGCAGATAATTTTTCATCATTAAAAATTAGACTTGGTTTAAGTCTAAGTAAGTGCTTGGTGGTTGGGTTAACAACTTCTACGGATGTACGCATGATCTTAACACGGAAGGAGACATATATAGTTTTGCATAATAGTAAACCGTTGCACGACTGCATAATTGAAGGGACTCCACGAGTGTTATAAAATTTGTAGGTTCTTACCGGAGATGGGTCAGTGTCAGATTTGGTTACGGGGATTCTCTCGAATTCCGAATCGGATATGTCTTTCCAAAGGAAACAAGGGGTAGAGGTGATGAATAGACGACGAGTGTGGGAATGACAGAATAGAGGATTGGAGATGAGAGACAACCATTGCTTTGAAACACACTTATATCGAGCCACGTCTTTCACAGGCAGTCGAAGAAGGATCTCTGTCACAAGGTCTAAGTTGCCGACGACAATGTCACATGAACTCCGCATCATGCAACACTTCAAACGAATATGCAAGCTCTTTTTCCTTCGATTTTCTGATATTAGAGTTACTGATATTGGTTGATCTAACTTTAATTTATAGATGGATTGATATATGGGAAAAAAACATGTGTCAATTCTAAACCATATAAAGTTGTGTGTCAATTTAAATGAGAAGAAGAGATAGATAAAGAAAAAAGAGAGTGCAAAAAAAAAAAAAAAAAGTGTGGGTTCCACTTATGTGTAAGAGTGAAATGACATAAGTTGTGTCATTTGAAAGAATCAATAAGCATATATAAGGAAAAATCTTATACTTTGTCTTAATTAAGGAAAGAAAGTATTTAGATGTCCAATTTAAAATTTTAAAGCATCTAAATTTTTATTTTGATATTTCACAAATGTGCGCTATTTTAGATTTATTTTCGTATTAATTTTTTGATAATAGAAATTAATAATTGATTATTAATTTGTTGACAGATTTCCTTCATAAAAAAAGTTAAGAATCATTTAAAATTGGGTTCGTTTTTTCTAAAGTTATTTTAGAAAAATTTGTCTAATGTTCACCGAAATGTAGGGGTGACAATTTGGGTTGACCCGCCCCGCCCCCCCAAAAACGGGACGGGGCGGGTTGACACGCCAAAAAATATGGGTTGTAAAAATGAACTCATCCCATTTTATGGTGGGTTGACGGGTTGGCGGGTCAACCCACCAACCCGCCAATTAAAAAAAATTAATTACAATTCAAAAATAAATTATATTTTATGAATTTTTTTAATATTATTTTATTTTATTTCACACTTCTTTATATTTTTTTTAGTCTCAATCTTAAATGTATACTAATATTTGTCAAACATTCTTTAGGAATTTATAAATAGATAACATTTGTCATAAATAAAATTGTTATTCTTTATTTTTTCTAGAAAGTACTTAGATAAAAAAAAATTGAATATCGCAAAAATTTAAGTACTAATGAAATACTACCTAATTGTAAAAAAATAATAAAAAAATTTAAAACCCGGCAGGTCAACCCGCCCCGCGGCGGGTTGAACCCGTTTTAACCCACTTCTAGGCGGGGCGGGTTGAGGTGGGTTGAAAATCTCAACCCAACCCGTCCCGTTTTGGCGGGTTGGCGGGTTGACCCGCCGGGCTCAACCCATATTGCCACCCCTACCGAAATGACGTTATTTTAGAACGAAAATTATGGTGTATTTGTAACTTACACTTTGAAAAAACCCTCTCATAGAATAAAATCCACAATAAAATTCAATAAATCCTAACTGTTGATTGACGGAAATCAACGGTTAGTATCTAAAATAACATAAAGTTAGATCATTTAAAAGGACAAATATTTTTTCCTTCTTTTTCAGTAACATTTATTATTCAATATTTTTTTAAAAAAATTAATGTGTATTTAGTGATATGCTTCATGGGAATCTTATTATATAATTCTTTTTCTTTAAAAACTAATATGTATTTATTTTTATTATATATTTAATGATATTACTAAATGCTGTAAAGGAATCTTTATCATTTAATTATTTTCTTTTAAAACTAATATGTATTTGGTGATGTTATTAAATACTTACGAACGTAACATTTATGATATTTTATATTTTTTGAAAAACTTAATGTGTATTTAATGATATCATTAAAATATCTCCTTTTTTACTCTTTTTTGATCTATATATATATATATATATATAGGGGAAGAATATTGTAAGTTGTAACAACTAATTAGTGTTGCTACCAATCAATTTCACAGTTAGATCGATTATATATGTTGATCCAATGGTTATATTTATTTTCACATTTGTATGGTTATAATTTTTAAATATGGAGAATCATAACCATACAAAATGGAAATAAATATAAGCATTGAATCAATATAATCGATCTAACGGTGAAATTGTCTGATAGTAACACTAATTGGTTGTTACAATATCATATATATGGCAAGTATTTGATTGCTGCACGTACAGAAACTGTAGAAATGTAAACTCCTATGTATATCTTTTTTGTAAATTTATATATGACAAATTATATTTTCTTTTCCAATATTTTTACATTTTCTTTGTAAAGTAATTTTATATTTAAGTATTTAAAAAATATAAATAGATTCTAGTAAAATATGAATTTTTAATTATATTATTCCAAAAGAAAATAATATAATAGTGGTATAGGTTATCTTGGTGCAAAAATTATTTTTTAACAAAAATGCATATATTATTTTTGTTACATTAAAGATAACCTTAAAATTCAAATAAAATAAATAAATTAAAATGATTTTTTTTGTAACGAAACCATGCAAAGTAAGAGCTAGATCGAAGTTGTTTGTATACGGATATTTTTCTGAAAAATTGCTTGGAAGAAAAAAGAAATTGAACTGAAGCAAAGCAAATCAAATTAAGTTGATCTCAGTTTGAATGGATTCTCCAATATTAATATTTTAAATGTAAAAAGGCAAGTACTACTCAATATATCTTATTTGGTAAATAAGATCATGAATAAACATATCCATGGAAAAAGTTGATACTTTGTCTTAGTTAAGGATTGAAAGTATTCAGATGTCCAATTTCAATTTTTAAAGCATATAAATATTTATTTATTTTTTTGGTAAATATATAAATATTTATTTTCATATTTCACAAGTGCGCTGTCAATTAAAATTATGTTGTTATCGCCCACCAAAAAAAAAATTATATTGTTTTCCATTTTGCATAAAATGAATCTAAGTACTTTACAATTTTCCATATTAGTTTATAATTTTCTATGTATGATACAAGGAATTTACTTTCAAATGATTGTGCCATTTTCCTTGCAAAATAATATCCAAAAAAAAAAAAAAAACTAGCACTAAAGTGGAGACCGTGTTTTTTTTGTTAGAGACCTAAAATGGTATTTACTCTATTTTCTTTTTATGTAAAAGGCAAGTACCAGTGTTTAAAAATTGGCCCGACTATCGACTTGGCCGAGGTCAGGGAGTTACGGGTTCAACGGAGAAGTCAGGGGTCATTTCACTGATCTGATTTTATACATTAAAATAATATAAATATATATCTGTACGAAAAATTCAAAAAAATCAAACCACCAATCATTAAAGATTCAAAATATACTTAACATAATTCAACCAATTACATCCATAAATTAATATTAGTATTTTTTATATAATATAGATGTAAAAAAATAAGTAGTAAGCAATATATAGGTTAAAATCTGATACTTTTCTTAATTAAGGAATGAAAGTATTCAGATGTTCAAATTCAAATTTTAAAGTATATCTTTTTTTATTTTGATTTTTCAAAAATGCGCGTCATTTAATGTAGAATAAATTCATTCTGATTTTGATAAATAGAAACAATTAATTGATTTTAACCTGGGAGTAAATATTATTTTGGATCCCTAACAAAAAATATAATTCCCGTTTTAGTCCCTTGTAAAAAAATATTAGTCGATTGGTCCTTATGAGATTTAAAGTGGACCCATTTTAGTCCTTTTGAGGGACTACTATGAGTCTTTTTTGAATTTGTGAGGAATCACATTTTACTTTAAATTTGTTAAGGACCTCCAGACTAATTTTTTTTTTTTTGTAAAACACTAAAGTGAGGATTATGTTTTTCGTTCGAGACCAAAATGGACATTTACTCTTAACCCGATGACAGATTTCCTTCACCAAAAAATTAAGAATTATTAAAATAATATGTTTAACCATTGCGTAAAAATTAAATATAAACAGTGTACAGTTATATACATATGATACAAGGAATTTACCTTAAAATGAATTTAGTATTGAAAAATAATATTGAAAAAATCAAGCCTGGGTATAAAACTAATCTAAAAATGAGGTTATTATATATACATAGATGGAGGATATTTTGACTACCAAAATTTTTTACTACTAACTTACTACCTATCTAATTACCATTGGATCAAAGAGAGAGAATGTTAAAAAGTTTATGAAGAGAGAGAAAATGCTAATTCAATGGTGATTAGATAGGTAGTAAGTTGGTAGTGAAAAATTTTGGTAGTGAGAATATCCTTCCTCATATACATAAGAAGAAAATTTTAATTGATCAGTATGAAATTCATCTGTTTAAAAATTCATTATTTGAATATTCGTTTGATCTAAGTTTAATTTATAGATTGATATATCTTATATAATAAATAAAAAGTAGATCAAAAAATGATGTTATGAAATGCTTCTTAGGTTGTATTTGGTTCGGGATTTTCACTAAGTATCCCAGCAAAGTGTAGTGGGTAACTGAGTTGTCCACGTTTGGTTGAGGGATAATCTAAAAATTAGCCATCAATCATATTTCCCCAGCTATCGATGTTGTAGTGTAAATCAGGGCAATTTTCCCTGTCGAAGAAACCCATTTCAACGATGGTATTTTGAGATAATATCGGACAACTTGAAAAGGGACGAAAAATTTGACAAAGTTACCCCCTGGTCTTATCCACATATAAGGAAGAAAATCTCAGCCACATACCAAACAACTTGTTGTCTGACTTCGATTTGGTGAATGGAGCTATCTCTCATCGCGTGCCATATTTGATCATTCACAATCTTCTTCGCGCTGTTCTGAAACCCAAGAGTTTGGACGGACGAAACTATATTTGGTAAGGATGTAGCTACAAGAGTTCATGTTGTGGGTGCAGATGACGCAATACATGAAATGGAACGAGATCCTGCCTTGTTTGATGACACTAGAGTCCCCTTCGATGATTACCTAGACCTCACGGGTGACTATATCCCACAGCCTCTAGAAGATCCTCCCATACCTGACTGTCCAGCAGAAGAGGCTGTGCCTCAATCACCCGTGTCCACTGTTACTGCCAGAAAGGGTAAGAAAAGGCAAAGGAGTGAAGATCCTTTCACGGTTGAGGTTGTTGATGTGATGAAAGACCTTACACAGACATACCGCAAATCAACTGACAGCATCGACAAATTGGTGTCTTGCTTTCAACACCAAGCAGATGGCAGCAATAGGCGAATGTCAATTATGGATGTG